AACGTCTTCCCTTCATAGATATAATCACGCGTGGTAGTCAAATATTTAACAGTCTTACGGCAGGGGCATCACCCAGTCAGAATGGACCTGCCAATTCTTTCACATACCTGCTGCCCCTCTCAGCCTATTAGCAATCACTCTATAACAAAAGCTATGTAAACATATGACCTTGAAAAAATGTTTGGAAAAAGGATATACTCAGGCAGAGTGTCTTCTGCTTTCCAAATGTGAATTAGCTTTTCAGATTGTGCTGGGGCCAGGGGTAGCATGGGCAGCAGATTCTGGGCTATCTCAGCTCAACCAAAGAAAGAAATTCCATGGTTTATCTGTTCTGTGAACTAGACTTCCACAGTAAGATTATGTTTCCAAAAAAGGTAGCAAGGCTAAGCATGTTTGAATCCACTGAGTTGTACACATTAATTGATGCTGAGAGCTGAGACCTCCTGCATCAACAGAAACTGAACAGAAGAAAAGACTGCAAACTAACAACTTTACTGTGTGCTTCAGAAAACTGTTGTTCACGGAGTTACCTGGGTGGTTTGCTCTCTGGTCAAACAGCTGTCTTATCAAGAAGGCAGTTTGTTCACTGACCCAGTAAGTCACTTCTCAGGAGGATATTTTGCTCATAAAAGCGTGCCTTCAGACCCTCACCTTGCCATGTCCACTAATCCTAAACTACTATGCCAGCTAGTTTCCTGCCCTGGAAAACCCACCTTAAATCATGAGAGCTTAGACTCCAAAATTCTGTAAGTACCTTCGACCTACTTTCCCCTTTGACTCTATCAGGGTAGTTTTTCCCCTTGCTGCAATAAGTAATAATCAGCTTTGCTTGGTCAAGAGGTTTTTATGTTGGTCTCTGTGCAGAGTCAACAGTTGACCATCCATTCGTTCAGCAAATATTTAGTAAGCCCTACTAGGTGCCAGGCACTATTCTAGGTACTTATCACATATCAATAAGCCAAACAGGTAAGAAACTCCCTACCTCGTGGAACTTAACACTCTAATGGGAATAAAGACAATAAACCAAACCTAAGTGTGGAAATATAACTCTATTATGCACTAGATTCTGATCAGTTCTCTGAAAGGAAACAAAGCAGGAAGGAACAGGCACAGTGGCACCTGCAGTGGTTCAATTTAAAAAAAAAAAAAAAACCTTTCTTTACGTTTCTTTATTTTTGAGAGACAGAGTGTGAGTGGGGAGGGGCAGAGAGAGAGGGAGGCAGAGAATCCGAAGCAGGCTCCAGGCTCTGAGCTGTCAGCACAGAGCTTGATGTGGGGCTCAAACCCACGAACCGTGAGATCATGACCTGAGCTGAAGTCGGATGCTTAACCAGCTGAGACACCCAGGTGCCCCTGCAGTGGTTCAATTTTAAGTGAGATGGTTTACAGTTCACCAAGAAGGTAAACATTGAACAAAGACCTGAAGGAGTTGAGGGAATGAGCCATGTGGCTATGTGGGTATCTAGAAGAGGAGTTTCCCAGTGTTAGAAAACAGCAAACACAAGGGCCCTGAGTTGAGAGGGTCCGTGCTCTGGACAGTGCAGAGGGGAACAGCAAAGAGGCCAGCGTGCCTGAGTGGATAGAGTTCAGGAGATGAGGTCCGAGAGAGAATGGGAAACCAAATTCTGTCAGACCCTATAAACTTCTGTGAGGACTTTGGTTTTACTCTGCATGAAAAGGGCAGCTGCAGAGGCATCTGAGCAGAGGGACCTGTGTCTCACATTAGCAGGATCGGTCTGGCTGCAGCATAGAGAGACGGAGGCAGAGACAGACGGAGGATGGATGCAGGGTGGACGCAAGGGGACCAGTTAGGAAGCTACTGAAATAACTCAGATTCTGTGTCTCCCTCTCTCTGCTCCTGACCCACTCTCCCTCTGTCTCTTTCTCAAACTTAATCTATGCGAACATGGGGAGGGAAGTATGTTCTGAGGAGGAGGGGCTGCCTCCCCAGCAGATGAAAGCTGCTCCCCAGGTCTGCTGTCTTGTTTCCCAGGCAGGCAGAGAAGAGCGAGAGGTGCTCTGGAGAGACTTCTGCAGACAGGAAACAACCAAAGGAAGGTGTGGTGGCTTGGTGGCCCTGGGCCTCCTTGTCTCGTTGTCCCTAAGTCCCCCGATTTCAGCGTATGGAGTCCATTTTAAACTGTGGGTAAAGTAAATCAATATAAATTAAATACAGACATTTGGAAGCTAGTGGAATCAGGTTTGGGGCCAAAAAGACAACATAGCTACCCATTCCCACACTAGACATCTAATTTGTTATCATTTGCTATCACTATTTCTCTGGACTGTGGTGCTTGCTGGTACACAGGAGTTAACATCTGAACATCCTTTCCCTCCTGGTTCAAAACATCGTCTTTGATATTTACTTACTCGCATAACTATGCGAGTCATGCCTGGACTCTTGTTTTAATTTTTTTTCAGCTTTATTGTTTTCAGTAACATACCAATTTGTTTCTTCTCTCTTTCTCTGTGTGTGTGTATGTGTGTGTTTAATTGTGGTAAAACATACAAAACACACATTTTACCATTTTTTTAAAGTTTTTATTTTGAGACAGAGAGAGTGAGAGAGAGAGAGTGTGAGCGGGGAAGGGACAGAGAGTGAGGGAGAGAGAGAGAGAATCCCAAACAGGATCCACACTGTCAGGGCAGAGTCTGATGTGGGGTTCAATCCCACAAACTATGAGATCATGACCTGAATCAAAATCAAGAGTCTTATGCTTAACCGGCTGAGCCACCCACATGCCCCAAATTTTGCTATTTTAATTATTTTTATTTAGGGGTGCCTGGGTGGCTCAGCCGGTTAAGCATCCAACTCCAGTTCAGGTCGTGGTCTCACGGTTCATGGGTTTGAGTCCCACGACGGGCTCTGTGCTGACAGCTCAGAACCTGGAACCTGCTTCGGATTCTGTGTCTCCCTCTCTCTGCTCCTCCCCCGCTCGCACTCTGTCTCTTTCTCAGAAATAATAAACTTTAAAAAATACGTTTATTTATTTAATTCTAGTAAGCTTTACACCCAATGTGGGTCTTGATCTCATGATCCTGAGGCCAAGAATCACATGTTCTACCAACCGAGCCAGCCACACGCCCCTAATTATTTTTAAGTGTACATTTAGTGACAATTCAATTGCAGTGTTGCGCAGCCATTACTACTATCCATCTCCAGAATATCATCCCCGACGGAAACTTTGTGCCTATTGAACACTCAATCCCTGTCACTCTCTCCCAAGCCTCTGGCAACTTCTACTTTTTTCCATCTATTAATTTGTCTATCCTAGGCACCTTGTTTGCATGGAATCATACAATGTGTAGCCTTTGATGTCTGGCTTTTTTCCCTTAGCAAGATGTTTTCAAGGTTCATCCATGTTGTGGTATGATCAGAATTTCATTCTTTTTAAGGGCTGAATAATATTCCCTCGCGTGTATGCTACATTTTGTATATCCATTCATCTGTTAATGGACATTTGGGTGATTTCCTCTGTTGGGTTATGGTGAATAGTGCTGCTACAAACATTGATGTAAAAGTATCTGAGTTCCTGCTCTCCATTCTTTCGGGGAGTGGAATTGTTACATCATATGGTAATACTATGTTTCAGTTTTTGAGGAACCTCCTTTTCACAAAGGTCACAACATTCTACATTCCCACCAACAATGTAGGAGGGTTTCTCTATATCCTCACTAACACTTTTTATTTTCTCTTTCTTTCATTTTTTTCTTTTTCTGAAAATATTCATCCTAATAGGTGGAAGTGATAGCTCATTGAGGTTTTGATTTGTATTTCCCTAATGATTATGAGGTTGGGGATCTTTTCGTGTGCTCATTGGTCATTCGTATGTCTTCTTTAGAGAAATGTCTACTCAAGTTATTTGCTCATTTAAAAATTGGATTGGTTGTTTTGCTGTTGAGTTGTAGGAGTTCTTCATATATGCTGGATATTAATCTTCTATCAGATATATATGTCTTGCAAATAGTTTCTCCCATTCTATAGGTTGGCTTTTTGCCATCTTGATAGTTCCTTTTGCTGCACCAAAGTTTTTAATTTTGAAGAAGTCCAATTGATTTTGTCTTTTGTTGACTATGCTTTTGGTGTCACATCCCACAAATCATTGTCAAATCCAGTATCATAATGGGTTTCTCCTATGTTTTCTTCTAAGAGTCTTATAGTTTAGCTCTTAAGTGTAGGTCTTTAATCTATTTTCAGTTAAATTTCCTATGGAGTGTAAGGTAAGGGCCCAATTTCATTCTCTTGCATGTGGATATCCAGTTTTCCCAGCACTTGTTGAAAAGACTGTCCCTTTCCCCTTGAAAACAAAGGCTCTGTTTGCTATGGGTCTTGTCACAGTTCTTACCAGCAAGTTCACATTCTTCTCCTAACTCTTGTCACACACACAGCCACCGCATACAAACTATCGTGGGGATGTTCTGCAGAATAGCATTACCAGCATAGAGAGGCAAGCTTGTGAGCGGCTGTTGGGCAGTAACATGTTTGTGAGAAATGTCCAATCTTTAAGGACCAAAAAGTAATTCTCAACAGGATTCAGGGTACCTTGTTGATCTTTGCTATCCAAAGGGGGTAGAGGCCCCCACTCCATCCTCTTAAGTCAGAGGAATGAAAAAAATTCCCTTCACCAGGAAAATGCAAATGAATTTGCTTCCACTGAAAAGATGCATTGCATATAAGATGATGGTTGTGGTGATATTTTTCCAATAGGCTACTAATGTTAAGTGATTATTCTTTTAAAAATGTAAAATCGGACTCTCATACAAATATAAAACAAACGCTTGTGAAATGTTCTATGCAGCTCATTAACTAATGAGGAAAACAAGAGGATGTTATATGACCCATCCAGAGGAGCCTCAACACTGTCCACGCTTATATTCAGATAAGCAGTGCTGAAGTGAATTCGCAGATAGATGCCACAGGATGATCTCACATTCCTCCCAACCCTATTTGTTTTCCATGGACAAGAATTACTTGTATTACTATCCATTTTCTATAACTTTCAGAGTTGTAGAATACCACAAAGCCAGGAAGGCTGGAGGTAACACTGATGGGTGAGCTCATTTCAGTCTTTCCAATTTCCCTACAGAAGAAAAGTGTACTTGAACCTGTAGTTCATGAGTTTGCATGGTGGGAGATTTCGCTTTTCCCGGAGCATGAAGCTTCCTATTTGACAGCTGCTACTTGTCGTGGATGATTTTCTTCTCTTTCCTTGGAATAAATAAGAGGAAGAGAATGGGAGCTGAATGGGTACAACTGGGTTTCTTTCTTTTCTTATTTTATTTGTCAGTTTTCCAATAAAATATTGGATGTTCCAGTAAATGCCCTAACATGCTATAGCAACCTTACTCCATTGTTTGCTTTATTTATTTTTTTTTTAATTTTTTTTTCAACGTTTATTTATTTATTTTTGGGACAGAGAGAGACAGAGCATGAACGGGGGAGGGGCAGAGAGAGAGGGAGACACAGAATCTGAAACAGGCTCCAGGCTCTGAGCCATCAGCCCAGAGCCTGACGCGGGGCTCGAACTCACGGACCGCGAGATCGTGACCTGGCTGAAGTTGGACGCTTAACCGACTGTGCCACCCAGGCGCCCTCCATTGTTTGCTTTAAAAAGTATGCATATACATATGTTTTTCTTAAAACATCTCTTTAATGTTTATTTATTTTTGAGAGAGAGACAGAGCGCCAGCTGGGGAGGAGCAAAGAGGGAGACACAGAAGCCAAAGCAGGCTCCAGGATCTGAGCTGTCAGCACAGAGCCTGATGTGGGGCTTAAACCCATGAACCTTGAGATTATGACTTGAGCCAAAGTCGGTCGCTTAACCACCTGAGCCACCCAGGCGCCCCTGTCTATGCATTTTCAATTACAAAGTAAAAGCAAAGTTGATGACTCTCATACTCGTTCCTTTTACATTTTCAGAAGATATTTATCAAGCATCTCCTGTGTTTTAAGAACTATTACAGGCACTAGAGACCCACCAGTGAGCCAAATAAGGCCCCTGCCCTCCCTGAGCTTACATTCTTGTGGGGGCACACAGACAATAGGTGTAATATGACATCAGACAATAGTGAGTGCTCTGAAGGGTAAGAGAATGAAGTGGATAATGTGAGCAGAAAACGGAATGAAGTGAAGGAGGAGGCCACGTGAATACCTGAGAGAGGCTAGTAGCACAGGGACAAAAACTTATAGGGACATCAGTAGCCCAGCAAAATCATAGAGGCTCGTATTCGTATACTAACAAACTTTACCTGCGCACCCACCGTGTATCAGGCACTCTGCTGTGTGCTTACAGTACAAACCCTTGGGGAGGCCAGAATATTACTATCACTAAGGATTCCTCAAGAGGAAGGTGTATTTCTGTCAGCTGATTTCTTGTTTCCTCTACCTGCCCCCCCATCATACATGGTTTTCCAAAATCCAACTTCATTGATTGGCCCTTCTTCTAAAAAGAATTTCATCTCACTTAGCCTCCACTGTATGCTCTCAGAGAACTTGGTGCATATTTGCATTAAAGCCCGCATTATGCTTGATTGTAATAATCTCTCTGTTGTCCGTCAGCCTTCCCCACTGGACAGCACACTCCCTAAAAGCAAGCTCATCACTGTATTTACCTCTGCACTTTTGAGGCCCACCACAAAACCTGGAATATTCTGGCTCTTGATAAGTACAGGCAGAGGGGACAAAAGTAGTGAGAGTTTGTGGTCGGGGGTGGGGGAGGGTTTCACTACTTTTTCATTTCTTCCTTCTAAATCTTCTGGAATAAGTCTATTTTGGCTTTACAAAGGAAAAGCAATCCACTTTATTTCTAAAACATGAATGCACAGACTATGGCTAGCTCTTACTTCCTTTAGACAGTTTTTCTGCATGATGGCCGAAAAGCAGCAATGGCCTCGAATGAAGCTAATCCAATGACAGAAAATGGTGACAGTAACTCACAGGAAACAATGATAACAATATTCTTATAATGGCTAGAAGATCATGTAATACATTTTATAAAGATTTTCCTCCAAATGGCTGGGAGGGGTGGGGGGAGGGAAGTTTGCTTGCGAGCTATCTGAAAAACACTGCATTCTGAGGGCTCTGAAAAGCAAAGCTCCACAACATTGATGTTACACTGCCCTCTGGTGGATATGGCACCACACAGCAAGGCTGGAAGTTCAGGTCCACTCCAGTGTTTCTAGAGCTTCCCTTCAGAAGTCTTGTCTTTTTACAATTGAATGGTACTCTCTGCAAATACCCCAGGACATAAGTTGGAGAAGAAACCCTCAAGCAAATATACCAGGTTCTGAAATTCCAGATAATCCTTTGCTTAACAATCCTATTCTTATTACTAATATGCATAAAACAGTTGATTAAGCCTTCTCACAATATTGTAGGCTGTGTAAATTCTGAAATGACGAGACACCTGAGGCTTGCAGGAAAGCAATGACTGGTCAAAGGCCACACAACACATGTGTTGGATGTTTTACATAGTCACAAGTAAATACTGTGCACCTGCTGTGAGCCAGTCATAAAGATGGGCCTAGAGAAATAGTTTACTCTGAAAAAAGCATGACAGTACAGAATGGAGATTGCCGGGGTGGAGGCGTGCATCTCAGTTGTCATGGCAATCAGAAATGTGTTTTGTCCAGACTGGGGCAGTTGGGAAAGTTTCCCAGCAGAAAGAATTGCGCTGAGCCCTGAAGATACAATGTATATAACCGAGGACCTCAAAAGACAAGTCAGAAGACTAGAGAAGGATATCCTTCCCTCCCTGACACATGCACAAATAGGAGACTCCAGCTGGGAGATGGATGGATGTAGAATGCTCTGTACTACAGCCAGTGCTGGAGTCTTCACTATATTGGACAAGTTTTCTGTAAAGTTGAGTAACTGCTTTGGGCAATATAAATATATTTTAAAACCAGTAGCCAGTACTTTGAAAATGTGTTACAGATATCCTTATTACCAACATCAGATCTTTATAATATTCCCTCAGATTGTTCCTCCTCTTGGTCCTTCATCTTAGGAAATAGCAAACCAAACCTGACCCCTCTCCCGATGGAGTCCCTAATTATTCCTGTTTCCTATTTTAATAACACTTGGATTAAATGACAGATATTATTTCAGGACTTCGTTTCTTTTTTCATTTGCCTCCCTCACCAAACTGAGATGTATGACATCAGGGAATAGGCCTGAGCTCTTGGGAAAACACTGCATACTCAGACTCAGAGCGGCAGAGCTCCACAGCACTGCTGGTTAAGCTGCCCTCTGGTGGACACGGCACCACACAGCAAGGCTAGAAGTTCTCGTTCGGAGAGGAGGATGGGGAGGTGGTGCAGGGCATGAAGGGATTTGGAAGTCATAATGACTTCCTCTTTGGGAGGAAACTGAGGGGTGTTCAGAGATTTAAAGAAAAAGAATGACAAGGGTTTCATATCCCAGATGAGCACCGTCTCCCCCGGCAACAAAAAAACAAGAAAGAAAGACAAGATCAGGTTTGCACTTGAGAAAGGTCTTTGTCACTGCGGAGTCGAGAATGGGTTGCAGCTGCAGTTTAGGGAGATGATTTGATTGAGGTAGAGGCAGTGATCTCAGCAAGACATGCCAGTGCCCTGGGCTCAGGTGGCATCGGAGGGTAAATGAGAAGTGACAATAGAAATGAGGACAAAGAATCAACAAGCCACGCTGACAGGCAATGGGAGAAGCTCTGACTCCTTCCTGGGCAATTGGGTGGATGGTGGCATCATGTGCTGATAGGGGTTTGAGGTGGGGGGTGGGGAGCTGATTTGGGGGAACAGGCTCAGTATATGTTTTTGAACCATTGCCTTTGGGGTGCCTGTGTCACACGCAAGCAGAAAAGTCCTCTAGAAAGCTGGCGGTGGGGGGTGAAGGGATGGGGCCTGGAGCTCAGGAAAGAGGAGGCGGGGAGTGGGGCGGGGGAGGGACGGGGCTGCGAGAGCCACTGGAACCACGGAGACTAGACCCCTCAGGAGGGGCTGGGATGTGAGCCCCACCGCGGTTTTAAAACAAGCCCCACCGCGGTTTTAAATTAATACTTTTTAGAAAGCGTATGAGAGTCAAGGGATTGAAAACACTGAGGAGAGATGTTACAGAGTAACTTGCTGAGATACAGCTAATTAATCTTAGTGCTTCCTTTTCCCACCCCCACTGGAAGGCAAGCCTCCTTCCTGTGTCTAAAGCTGGGAGATGGCCTCCCCTCCTTCCAACCCTAGGGAAATTCAGAGCTTATGGTTTTAGGACCCTGAGGAGACCATGCTTCTTTCTCCCCGGGGAGACAAGGGTAGAGACAACTTTGGAGGAGAGGTTGAAGCCTCTGGATCTAGAGAGATTAGCAGATTTAGCTGCTACTGAAGAAGGTGGGGGGCGGCGTTTGGAGGAATGCACGGTGCATGGGCAGAATCCCTTGCCCACTCTTAGGCATATAGGAAGCTAGATGGGGGAAATCACTGCAAGACGCCAGCTATGGGGGCACCTGGGTGCTTCAGTCCATTAAGTGTCAGTCCTTCCGACTTCATCTCAGATCATGATCTTGTGGTTCATGAGTTCAAGCCCTGAGTCGGCTCTGTGCTGACAGCTTAGAGCCTAGAACCTGCTTCAGATTCTGTGTCTCCCTCTCTCTCAGCCCCACCCCAGTGTGTTCTCTCTCTCTCTCTAAAAAATAAATAAATATTAAACAAAAACAACCCCCCCAAAAAAAGATGCCAACTATTGAAAGGAGTGGCTGCAGGGATTGGCTCCAGACTATCCAGAATTAGCTTTACTAGAAAACTGAATTTTGCTGAGATGCTTGAGAAATATGTTTTCTAATCTGAAAGGCAATAGTCATAAAATGTAATGACTTAGGCTCCCATTTTCTGTCCTAGGTATTTGGGTATTTGTTTATAGAAACATATCAATGCATTTCAGTCAATTTTATTTATTATTTTTTTAACATTTATTTATTTTTTTTTCAACGTTTATTTATTTTTGGGACAGAGAGAGACAGAGCATGAACGGGGGAGGGGCAGAGAGAGAGGGAGACACAGAATCGGAAACAGGCTCCAGGCTCTGAGCCATCAGCCCAGAGCCTGACGCGGGGCTTGAACTCACGGACCACGAGATCGTGACCTGGCTGAAGTCGGACGCTTAACCAACTGCGCCACCCAGGCGCCCCTAACATTTATTTTTGAGAGAGAGAGAGACTGGCAGAGAGTGAGGGAGACATA